CCTGCACGCCTGCCCCCCCTCCCCTCTGCACAGACCACCTTCCTCCTGTGCGCGCATGCCTCCTGCCCAACCAAATTTTTCTCCAGCAGCTGCCCTTGCCCCGATAAGGCCAGATAGTCGGCCACTCGGAGCTTGTCAGCTCCTTCTCATAAATAGGACGCGCCGCCAACCGGGACCAAAAACACTGACGTGCACGCGCTTTCCTCCGCAGGTCGCGACCCTCCGTACCGTACCGTACCTTCGCGACCACCACCCTCGCCGAAATAAAAAAAAATAAAGAGGTACCTCTCACCATCATCAACCACACCAGACCAGACCATCCATACCACCACATAACGAATTACCATCCTTTTGCCCTTTCGCACGATTCACTTCTCTGCGACGCGCGCCCGATTTATCCACGGAACCGAGCACCTTCCACTCCGCCGCCCCATTTCGAGTCCTGCCGGCTCCACCGACACTCGTCGCGTGTTTGTATTCCACCCCCCGGTACCTCTGAAGCTGCATGCGCGATCGCCAGATCGCCAAGTACTTTCTTCGCGGCCTCTTGCGATCAACCTCATCACGGCACGCCTCCCAACTCTGCTCTATTCATCTCCTCAAACAATTGCGACCAAGTCTCGACTCTTTTGACGCGTCGTCGACGGCCCATACGCGCCATCAAACGCCCCAGTTGGTCCCCCCCCCTCATCGCCACGCGCCTTCCCTCCACAACCACGCCACGCGCCTGCCGTCATCACAAACGCTCATCCTCAACCACCTCGCCTCCTTTCCATCACCGATTCGTCTGCGCAACACTTCGAAAGCGTATTTCATCGGTTGAGGTCGCGTCTGGCGCGTTGATTAGTGCCCCTCCGCCCTGAGCGCATTCACCTACACCGAAGTCATGGCGTCGCCTCAGTCAGAACGGGCAGAGCCCGTCGAGAAGGAGAGTGCCGCTGCATCCGAGAAGGCAGGCAAGCCTGAGACTAATGGGTACGTTACTCTTCTCCGCTATGACTTTCTACGCGCCCCCCTGTGCCACACTCTGTCGCGGCTCTCTCATGATGCCTCATCCTGCGCGCCTGCATTCTGGCGCTGCCGACCCGTACCGCATCCCAACTGATGACTAATCGACTTCTGCCACAGCCATACCTCGCCCTCTGCACCCTCTGGAAAAGTCGCAACGCCTTTGACGAATGGCAACGGCAGCCACGATGACGCGTCGGACAAGAAGGCCAAGGACGAGTCGAACGCGAACGCAGTTGACACGGAGTCTGCCGCCGCGAAAGGGTCTGCGCCGAGCAAGCCTGACTCTACGTCCGAGCCTACGCCATCCAAGGAGGCACCCGAGACGGCGAAATCGGCCTCCAAGTCGCCACAGCCGCCAGCATCACTGCCCCCGAAGCCTCCGGCGGCCGCCACAACAACCGACGAGACTCCTCAGAAGAAGCCATCCCCGGCCAAGGAGGAACCTATCCAGCCATCTATTGAGTCCTCGAACTCGGAGGAAGCCACGGCAAAGACGACTGAGTCGAGCAAGCCAGAAAAGGCTTCTCCGCCGGACGAGGCGGACGACGTAGAAATGCAACTCGACTCACCCGAACCCGAAGCCGCCCCCAAGTCACCAGCTGCCAAGCCAAACGGCACGGAAAAGACGTCTTCGCCACTCACATCCAACCCGACTGCCGATGTAGACCTGAAACCAGCGAGCTTGTCCCAACTCGACCTCGATGGCAAGAAGGGCTCTCCCTCGCCACGACCTGATGCTGACGTCACTATGAACGACGCTCCAGCATCTTCCTCAAATAAGGTCGCCCGTGATCGCGAGGATGATAATGTCGAGGAGCCTGCTGCCAAGCGCGCGAAGACCGAACCCCGCGATGAGGAGCCTGAGCCTGAGCCTGAGCCAGAGCGCGCAGCAACGGCCGAGTCCACAGTCGAGGTGGCGTCTCGCCTGGATGTCGCGACAGATGACGAACCCGACCCATTCCGCAATCTGAAGGGCTGGCATGACGCGGCTCTCAACGCGACGCCTGTCACGCAGCATCGGATCCGCGAGTACCGCAAGGTCCTTGCCGGTATCAAGAAGACAAAGCATGGCGCTATCTTCAAGGACTCTGTCGCAAAGATGTGGCCTCAGCTTGGCGGAAACTATGCTGCTCTTGTCGCGAAACCCATGGACATTGGTTTGATGGAACGCAACCTGCGCGATGGGACTAAGTATCCCACGCTCGGAGACCTCAAGGCGGATCTGACGTTGCTGTACAGCAACGCCGTGTCCTTCAACGGCCCCAGCCACGACGTCACACTCGCGGGGAAGAACGTGGTGCCGGCGATCTGGGCTAGGCTCCTGGATATCCCGGCCGAGGAGCCCCCCAAAGCAAAGGCGCCACCCAAGCACAACCCTTCGAGGCAGGCCGAACAACGGCCGCCTGTCGCTGCGCCCCGACCTGCTGCCGTCCGTAAAGAACCGCGCCCCGTGCCCCCCAGTCCCGCCGCTAGACCCGACGCCGAGGCATACGCCGTGCCGCCTGGTGGCGTGCCGCAGGTCCGACGGGCGTCGACGCACAATGACACGGACAGGCCGAAGCGCGCAATTCACCCGCCCAAGAGCAGAGACATGGATTACATGGCGCTTCAGAATTTTAACAAAAAGAAGCTGCCGTTGGATCTGCAATTTGCCTACGAGGTCATCTCCTCCCTGATGGATGTCAAGCACGAGGCCATCAATGCACCCTTTGTCGTGCCTGTCGACCCGGTCGCGCTGCAGATTCCTCAGTACTACTCCCTCATCAAGAACCCCATGGACCTGGGCACCATCAAGAAGAAGCTCATGACAAACGAGTACCAGACCGCCAAGAGCGTTGTGGGCGACGTGCAGCTCATTGTGAAGAACTGCCTCAAGTTCAACGGCCCTGACCACCCCGTGTACGGGCTCGCTGTCCAGCTCGAGAGGCTCTTCCGCGACATGTGGAGCAAGAAGGAGCAATGGATCACCAAGCACACGCCGGCCAAGCCCGCGTCAGATGCTGGGTCGGGTGAGGACAGCGAGGAAGAGTCAGAAGACGAGCAAGCCGCCTCTGCACCCGCTGCTAAGATCACTAACGGCGCGATCCAGCAGCTCGAGCAACGACTCGCGGACGAGACGAGGAATCTGTCGCAGCTGCTCATGAACATCGACAACCCCGACGAGACGATGATTGATGTGCAGCGTACTGTCGTGAATGCCATCAGGAAGCGTCTCATCGAAGAGAAGGAGCGCGCCGGGACCCAGAAGGCTGAAAAGCCGGCCAAGAGCAAGCCTGCCAAGCCAAGCCACAAGGCCAAGGCCCAGGCCCCTGGCAACGGTCCGAGCAAGAAGGCCGCCGGTGGCCCGTCGCACAAGAAGGGCGGCGCGTCAGGACCCAAGAAGAAGCGGCAGATGACTCAGGTTGAGAAGGACGCGATCGCCAACGGTATCAACGACTTGGACGAGAACAATATCGCGCGGGCCATTGACATTATCAAGAAGGACACGGGTCAATCTGTACGTGATGACACCAACCGGTCGGCCGCCGACGTTTGTTTGCTAACCCCGTGCCTGCAGGAAAACGACAGCGGCGAGCTCGAGTTGGAGATTGACCAGCTGACTCCCGATGCCCTCCACAAGCTGTGGGATCTTCTCAAGAAGGTTCTTCCCGGTTTCGCCGCCTCGGTGCATCCTCCAGCGGCAGCCGCACGTGACTCGTCCCCAGGTAGCGCCAGCGGTGGCGGGCAGAAGAAATCGGGCAAGCCGAAGAAGAACAAGCCCATGAATGCTCGTGAGCAAGAGGCTCGCATTGCCGAGCTCGAGCGCCTCAAGAACCAGTACCAGTCAGGCCAAGAGCCCGCTGGTGAACGTGACCCGGAGGTGCCTCTTCACCCGCTGCGTGAGGACTCTTCTGATTCTGAGGAAGAGTGAGCCTTTCGCAGCAGCACGAGGCGGTTTTGCGTGTTCTACACATTGTTTGAGCATCGTGCGGCTGTTGTTCTCCGACCGGTTCCCCGACCGGGGGGCCGCAGCCGCGCGTATCCGAGGGAACATACCATCGCAGCGAAGGAGCATCTATTGCCGCCGCGAGCTCCCTCGAAATGGCCGAGAGTAACTCTCCATCATGAGGTGTGTTTCGATGGCAAAGGCTTTTGGGGAGAAGAGAGCACCAGAGGACTTGACTAGGTCCTCCTGGTCGGCTGCATAGTGCATATGCGCCGAGGGAAAAAAAAAACAGGCGTGGGGAGGTCGGTCTGAGGACCAAATTTTTAAGAGTTGCGTCGAGGATACTATTCCCTCGAGGCTGCAGGGGAGGCCGTGACCAATTGGTCACGCTGGGAGGATGAGGATGAAATGCGAGACGAGGCGTAATTGTGACGAAGAAAGCAAGCAGAGCATGATCTCAAGAGGGAGGCGTTCTGCGAGCGACTGGCCGCGTGAGGCGGCTGGTTGCGGTAACCCTGAATTGTACAACTTAATTCGTGCACGGCGTTCGTTTTTGGTGCTCTCTGGGTGAATTTTGTTGCTGTGAGGGGTGTTCAAGGATACGTAGGGAGCTGTGTTGGCGCGGCAAGTCTTCACAAGCTTCGGTCACTCGCTGTCAGTGCTCGTTGGCAAGAGAATGAAGACTGGATTCCCCCATCTTTACTGCGAGTCTGCCGGCCAGAGAGGGAGAAGTCTGAGGTTTGTCGGTTCTGGTGGGCAGGCGAAGAAGAACCGTGTTCCACACAGAGGGCTGTGAGATGTAGAGATCATCTTACACAGGAAAACAGTCACGCTACTAAGCGTGCTTTCGAGTTTCCGGGGCCAGTTTTTCCAGTATTGCATAGAGAACTACATTCGACCTCCATCCAACAGGCCTCATGGATGGGGTTAGTCGGCTCGTTAAAGACGCCGTTGTCCGTCATCCGCCACAGCAGGCGGGCACCACCGCTCAAGACCATGCGCAGCACGCAGCACGCATCTTTCCCAGAGGAAGAGAGGATACCGCGGAAGCTGGTGCAGGGGGTCACGCAAGCGCCAGCCGCCTGTGAAAGGCATCGAGCATGGCCGTGGCTCGGTCCGCCGTCCAGCGCGGTCCGCCCCCGAGGCAGATGCTGCCCTTCACCATGTCTCCCACGAATGCGCAGACCATGGTCCTCACCCCCGGGTCGCTGCCATCGTGCAGCCCTTGCTCCAGCAGATGATAGCGCGTGCCGGGCCTCGCTTGCAGGAGCTTGAAGCCGTACGACAGGCTCGCCCAGAAGAGGACGTTGGAGAGAGACGTCTTCTCCTGCAGGTACGGCATGATGTCGACCGGTGGGTACACGACGTGGAGGCGCGCGGGTTCGAGCCAGAGACCGAAGCCGAGGCGCGGCGACATGCGTCCCGTGCGGTAGTAGCTCGGTATGGCGCGCCGGGCGCCACGGATGCCGTCTTCCTCGGCGTCCGGCGTCCCGCTGCGCCATGCGGGACCCTGACGCTCTGCGGCGCCCTGGCCCAGCCGGGCGACCTGCGTCGTCCGCCGCGTCTTGGCAGCGCTGTCGTCGTCCGTCTTGTCGAAGCCCGCCGCCTTCTGGGCGTCCCGCGCCGCCTCGGCAAGCTCGCGGTTGTCGACGCCGGATGCGATGCGCGCCAAGCGGGCTATGGCGTCCTGCATCTCCTGGTTGCTGGCTCGCAGGCGGGCGATTGTGTCGATCTGGCGTCGGCGAAAGGCTGCCTGCGCCAACCGCCCGCGTTCCTTCCGCCGCTGTGCAGGGCATGGCGTCTGTCAGAATCAAGAGACCGTGCGAGAGATGGGAGATGGGGCTGGTGACCGGCGCTGAACGTACGGCTGCGGAAACAACCCCGTCGACAGAGGACCGAGGAACATCTTCTGACATGGTACTGATCGTGCGATCGGTCTTGCAGGAGTGGGCTTGTGCCGTTGGGACACCCGAGTAAGTGCGGAGTTTGAGAAGGGGGGGTTCGTTGATGCTATGCGCTCTCATGGGATGTTAGACCATGTGGATACTGCTGCTGATGGAGGCGCGCGAGGACCTCACCAACTGAAAGTGGCCGTATTTTTGTTGCTTTTGCTTCCTGTAATGGCATGTCTTGGATGAGGGGGAGAGGCTCTGCAACATGGCCTCCGAATACATGGCACTTGCTGTAAGTCCCTTCTCTTGGAGCACAGCTCGTCAGCTCCCGCTTCTTCACCGCCCTGTCAGCTAAGAGACGGTGCGGGGCGTTCAATGATCCCGACTCTGAATGTCAAGGAAAACTGCGTAGAAGCATTAATATGACAAAGACGACCGGCCTTGGATCAAAGCCAACTGGGTCTCGTTAGGTTTACAGGGTTGGCAGTGGCAATTGTCTACAAAGCACAGGCGCCGAGGGTAACTCCTGTTCCGGTTCATATCTTAGAGTTTAGGCAGCTGCAAAGGGAAAAGACGGCTCCCGTAGAGGCTCGCGGCAAATTTCACTTTCTGGAGATACGACGGGCCGCCACGATTCATACCATTCCCTCTCTGGGTTCCCTCCCTCTGTAGAGCGCTTGCTACCAAAGGCGGGGCACAGAGTAGTGGGTTGGCTCCGGCCAAACACAAATCAATGCTGCGAACAAACTAATGTAAAAGCCCGCTTGCTGAAGACTAATTCCTATCATGGTGACGGAGGAATGGGCGTTAACGCCGGGTCAGTAACTTGTGGATACAGAATTGAATCATTGCTCCGACCCGACCACAGACACCATGAGAAGATGATTGTGATTCAATCCGCACATGTAGGAAGGAATGTAAAGATAGAACCCGTTTGCTATGAGCACAATACGTTGCATGCCGTCATTATTTGTTTCTTTTCTTTTTTCTCTTTTTTCATGTTTTTATACACTCTCTCAACCTTCGAATTCCTATGTATGGCTTGCCGCATCTGAGGAGGGCCCTCGTTGTGATATCGTCACCCGAAGCAGACAGGCTTTGTGGGAGAACCCTAGGCACCCGTTGTCAGGGGGGAAGTCGAGGGTCAACCTCCGTATATGGTATATGGCAGAAAGAGGAAGCTGCAGTTTTCAGATCCAACCGAGCGTATGCGCCTTCCGGCTTAGGAATGGTCACCCTGAAGACATCTTTACTCAATCTTTTGGCTGATTGCTCATAAACCGTCATCGTTGTACCATTCCAGGGACGACGTCGTTACAGATTGAGCGGGATGAATGTCTTTCGCCACTGCTTTTGCAATTAGGCGACCGTCAATTGGCCTACTTGGAGGGAAACAAAGCCTAGTAGAAAGCCAGCGAAGGTGGGTTTCGCACGTCAGATTACGTTCTGCAAGTAAAGGTGCTCGTAAGTTGAAGATTTGGTTTGTGGGAGTGGAAAACTTAGCACCAGTCCTCGCGTTGTCTTCTGTGGTGGTAGTCATGATTATTGTGCTACAATTTCGATAGCCTACACTGGCATGTTGGAGAGGACACCTTTTGTCATGGCCAAGCACTGACTCTCGGAAACACGCAAATTTCGAAAGAGATAGGCTAGAGTCGAATCAAGACTTCACCAGAAACTGGTGCCTTTGTTAAGTGGCGACATCCCGCAAAAGTTCCTCGCGACTTGGGCGAGTCCTGTAGCTGACTGTTACCTTGATTGCCGTCAATTCCCTTGGGAAAAGACGAGTGCGCGAGGTGAGCCCTCGGCTATGAGCATAAACTTCCTCGGATGAGCAGAATGCTTTATTGGTCCACCCGATACGAGCAGCCGCCTTCTCACCGATAACCTTGCCACTCAGCAAGCATTCCGGCGCAAAGCCGCGCCCAACGAGGCTGGGGAAGGTGTTGGCTACCGCCACCGCCAGGGATGAGGCCAGGGCTGACCTTGCTATGGCCGAAGAAAGACTCTGACTGGGAAGCAAAACGCATATCCAAAGCCGTCAGAAAATCGTTGACAGCGCCGCATGCCAGGGCTTCCACAGCGCCAATGCTCACCTGACATGATACTGTAGCTACAACAGACCGACGAATATCGCAGAATTATTGGTATTGGCCGCACTACAATATCTATGACTATCATTCGAGGGAATTCTTAGGAGAGATTTAGATTTCTGAGCAGAAGCACTCTAAAGCCGCCCTCGCGTCGTGCAAGAAAGCCGTTGTGGAACAGGCGGAACTTTCAACCCAAGTCAAGACGGTACGCAGGTATCATGCCAGTGTAAACGAAGCGTAGAGACGTTGCAGAATAACGAAAGAGCACCGTAGATTGTTAGTTGGGGTGAAATAGAACTGACATATACTGTTTTGGAGTGGCTCCATGACTGACAGTAACAGACGCATAACAGAGAATAGGAGACTTAGGGTAAGGGCCTGTGGAACGAAAATCAATGTCGAGGGTTCGCTGCTTCCCAGGACCGGTAGTGCGCTTGGAAGCTCTCGCTAACCGGACGGTACTTCAGGCCGAGCTCCTGGATGCTCTTGCAGTTATCAACTTTGAATGGAATGCTAAGGTTGGCGGTCGACCACTTTTTTGAAATCCCGATGAAGGGCCCGACAGCATACACCATCAGCCTAGGAAGGTTGCGGCTCGGTAATGCCTTGGGATCCCTATGCACCGATCGCACAAAACCAGCCATCTCAAGCAGCGAGATCGTGCGGTCACCCGAGATGATGAAGCGACCGTTCCGCGATTCGTCTTCACCGACCTTAACATGAGCTTCGGCGACGTCGCGCACATCGGCGACAGGATAGGACAGATCAGCGACGCCCATGCGATTGTCGCCTTTATACATGGCCTCAAGCATGTGAAGGCTGCCCGAGATGGACTCGGGTGTCAGGGATGGGCCTACGATCAGGCCTGGATTGATGACGACGAGAGACCAGCGGCCCTGGGCGTCGTGCATCTTCCAAGCCTCCCGCTCAGCTACCGCCTTAGAATAAGCGTAGGGATAGTGCGTGACGCTGCTGCTCTGATTCCAGCACGACTCGTCGAGGGTTTTGTTCGGTGTCTTCATCACATCGGCATTGTCACCGAACATTGCGGAAACTTGAAGAAAGGCTTGTTAGATATTGAACCACGGTACAAGAATGGGGTGAGACCACGCGTACCGGATGAGGTGAGGACTACACGCCTGACGCTTTCTGTACCATTGACAGATTTCAACACATTCTTGGTTCCTTGCAGTGCTGGCTCGACGCAGTCCTTAAAGCCGTCCTTGATCTGGTCGGGCACGAGGAAGGGCGAAGCGACGTGATAAACAACTCGGCAGCCCTGCATGGCCTGAGTAAAAGAGTCTGTCGTCATAAGATCGGCCTCGAACAGGTGAAGGCTGTCGGGAAACTGGTTTTGAAGGTCAAGCAGCGGTTTGCATTTTGCCTTGTTTCTGAGAGAGCGGACGGTGGCGTGAACACGATGGCCTCGCTCGAGGAGGAGTTTGACCAGATAGAGGCCGACGAAGCCTGTGCCTCCAGTGACGAGAGATGACGACATTGCTGATTTGATAGTTTGTGACGCAAAATTGACAGGTGCAGATGCAAGAGGCTGGGTGACGAAGGGGAGGCTGTTGTAGATGTTTGAACCTCGAGCTCGCTTGACTCGTGCGACAATATGGACATGTTTCCCTCCCTGCACACTCGGACCAGGATCTGGCAAAGCCGGCAACAGCTTAATAGTTCAGGGTATATGGTATTACTGATGAAAGGGATTACGAACGACCGCCCATGTCTTGACGAGGTAGGGGTGGAGGTTGGTGTTGCCCATCCGTGCCGAAAAACTGTCACACGTCCCTGATCCTCTTAGTTTGGCAGAGCCACCACTTCTATATGTAAGACTCTCATCAATTCAGAACTGATAATGGCCTCAGTGCATGGAGGCTAGTAAGAACTAGCTGGACTGCCGGCGAGAACCCTGGCCAGCACAATTGAGAGGCGAGGTTCTTGACAACTGGCCAGGGACGCCAAATCCTACTACTATGTCGCGGCCACCCTGTACGGACTGTGTATACCTAAGATAGTTCTCGGTCTTAACGGGATGATGGCATAAAAAGAGACGCGGCACCTAGTTGTTCACTAATGTTCACTAAAGCCTCCGCTCAATACTGACTGTGGCCGGCGACTCCGCAAGAGAATTGCTGCCTCATAGTTCATCTGATAGAGGCTCAATGAATGGCTGGATTGTGCATCAGTAATATCACGGAGATAGGCCCAATCACGTTTTTGCCGGTTTTAAGAAACTTCATTGCGTACCAACGGAACCGGCCAGCTTTTCCGTCATTTCGATCAAAAGATAAATAGGTACAGTCTGTAGGCTCTCGTGACGTTTCTTTTTCTGGTTCGTCATTAGACTTGAGCTCCCTTCCTCAGTTGCCGCGATATGACCATGATTCCCCCCTCGATCTACCTAATTACCGGTGCCAACCGTGGTATTGGCAAGGGCTTTGTGCAGCGAATTCTTCAAAAGCCTTCCACCACAGTAGTTGCCGCCGTCCGCGACCCTTCTCATTCAACGTCCAAGGCGCTTGTCGACCTGCCCAAGGGCGCTGACACGAAGCTCATCATCGTCAAGCTTGACACTGCCATAACGACCGACGCCGCCAAGGCTGTAGCGTATATCCGCAGCCAGGGCATCACGTCTCTGGATATCGTCATCGCCAATGCCGGCATCGCCCAGGACGGCACCAGCGTCCTGAGCACGTCAGTCGCGAACGCCCTCAAGCACTTTCAAGTCAACACCCTCGGCCCGCTGACCCTTGTGCAGGCGACTGCCGACCTGCTCAAGGCTAGCAAGACTGGGGCTCCCAAATTTGTCGTGATATCCACCATCATTGGCTCGATCAGCTCACAGGAGATCTTCAGCCACTTTCCCAAGACGTCGAGCCCGTACGGCGCCAGTAAGACGTCTCTGAACTGGTTCATTCGTCTCTTGTCCTTCGAGGAGCCTTGGTTGACCAGTATCCTGTTCCACCCCGGCGTTGTAGAGACGGATCTTACAGTGGCAAGCGGCATGGACCTCAGGGCTCTCGACGCCATCTCGGTAGAGACAAGCGTGGCGAACATGGTCGAGACGACCTTTGCATTCGAGCACAAGGAAATCACTGGAACATTCCGGAACCATGATGGTGCTATTATTCCGTGGTAGATTTCTCCGGTGACACCACCTATGGGCAGGAATAAAGCAGCGTAGGCGGATAATCTCGCTTCTACTTCTTCTCGTTTCCCGTTTGGTAGCCTTGTAACTGATGCTACTGCCGTGCTTCACGCTTGATCTTGCTGATTTTACGGTGAGGTTTGAGTCCTCTGCTATCCATAATGCTCCGATCAACCCCCGGCAAAGACATATAATCGGTTGGAAGGGACGCGTCGTTAGGATTCGGGCTTGTGAGGCGTTATTCTGAGCGACGAAGATAACTGGCGTGCTCCTGACTGTTGGTAGAGGGGACACGGGGCAACGACGGTCCGAGTACTTGTGATTATTCAATTAGTTGCTGAGTCCCATAGTCTACACGTGGCTTTCGAACACTGTTCTGGTAATTGTGTTCAAAAGCCATTGAGCTGCTCCCTTTGTCCTCGGCAAGTCCACTCTGACAGAGGCTTCTGTCAAATCCCTGTGCCCAGACGCTCCGTCATGGGCCGTACGTCATGGCAAACATCCTTTACTGCTATGAATGCCGAGAGTCTGACACTCAAGTCTCGTGATGACAAGTCACGCAGCTCCAGTCAAGAACGTCACTTGATAACGAGCTGCACAAACGCCTTACAGGCCATCTTCGTCAAATTATACGACCAAGCTGTGGTTGCCTGGAGACAGGGGCAAACTAAAAGGGACATTTTATGCACCTTGAACCTACCACCGTGATGCAATATGCTGTAATCATGCATTATGCTGCAATCCGCGCAAAAGGCGCGAGATGCCAAGCAGGTTCGTCGCGCCAACGGTACTCACGGTTTTGGAACGACATGATCAGAAAGCGAGCCATGAAAGAAAGCACCTCATTTTCTGAGCTTGAAGGTCGTTCCTCCGACTCTGGGAGGTGTATAGATGCGATGTGAGGGTTTCACCTCGTATTCGGGGAGACACCTTGTTAAACGGCCGATAAGACGGCCGATAAGAGTTCCCACTTGGACCTCACGTCTAAAGTGTCCCTCCCTCCAAGTTGCATCGTTGACATCATCCAAAAGCCGACAACCCTCCACGACATGTCGTCCTCACCCCCGATAGAGAGACACGACACAAGACGCCATGCCTACGAACCTTCCTAGACCATGCTCACTATGCATCCGCCGGCTCAGCCCGCGATCGCTCCCCACCCGCAGCCCTCCCCGCCGCCTCCTCTCCTCTGCCTCCCAAGACAAACCAAGCAAAGACCCGTCCGCCACCGCCTCCGAAAAGCCAGGCAACGAGACCCCCGCCGCTGCACCCCAAGATGACCCTCCAGACGAAGACACCCTCCAAGGCGCCCTCTCCCGCCGCCTCGAGCAGGCGACCGAAGAAGCCCTGACAGGCAGCACATCCGGCTTCCGCGCCGTCACCACGGAAGCAGGCTTCTCCCCGGCTCTCAAGGACCGCCTCTTCGAAAAGGTTCAGGCCGCCACGTTCCAGGACGCCCCCGCCGCCGCCTTTGCCGAGGCGGGCCTCACGGCGCGCGAGGGCACCGTGCCCGCCGCATCGGCAGCGGCGTCGGCGGCGACGCCCTGGACGGGCACCGAGACGCAGCACGACGCCGTGCTGCGCATGCTCGACGACGCCCACAGGCCGCTGCCCGTGGGCGCGCGGGGCACCTACCGCGTCCCGCAGCCCGTGGCGCTGCCGCGGCGGCGGGCGCCGGTCAAGGCGTCTGTGCGGGCGGCCCACGCGCGGGAGATGGCGGGTGCGTACATCGACCTGAAGACGCGCAGCGGTGGCGGTGGCACCTCGTCCGGGTCAGCAGGGCCGGCAGCAGCCGCTGCGTCAGAGGACGAGCGCGAGGCGTTCCGCGAGGAGATGCGGCGGCGTTTCGAGCCCGTGGCGCGTGCCGTGCCGGCGACCGTCTCTGGGCTCGCGGCGCTGGCGAACCGGCGCATCGAGGAGGCCATGGGCGCGGGGGGCCAGTTTCGGGGCATCGCGCGCGGCGCCGGCGTGCGCGGCGAGGCGGCGACGCGGAACCCCTTTGTCGACACGACGCAGGACCTCATGGACCGCATGATCCAGCGCCAGGGCATCGTGCCGCCGTGGATCGAGAAGCAGCAGGAGGTCGTGCGTGAGGTCGCCGCCTTTCGCGCCCGCCTCCGCGGCGACTGGGCGCGGCACGCGGCGCGCATGATCGCGGCGTCCGGGGGCGATGTAACGGCGCAGGCGGCACGGGCCGATGGGTTTGCCGCTGCGGAGGAAAGGGTTAACCCGCGGCGGCGCAAGGACGAGGCCGCGGCGGCGGCGGAGGGGGCAGCGCCCGTGGAAGTTTCGGCGGAGGATGTTGGTCCCATCTTCCGCGATCCAGCGTGGGAGGCGGCCGAGCGGTCGTATTTGACGCTGTCGGTGGAAACGCTGAACAACCTGACGCGGTCCTACAACCTCATGGCGCCAGAGCTGGCGAAGAAACCCTATTACTCGCTGGAACGCGAGCTCAAGGCCTGCTACGCCGACGTCGCGCCGCTGCTGCCGGACATGATTCGAGATGGGGGGCTTCGGCCGGCGAGGTCGCTGCTTGCCGAGGGCCAAGCCGCGGCACGGCCGCCGAGCATGTTTGCGCAGCTGGGCGGCGAGGGCCACGCGAGGGTGTACGATAATAGGGCTCCGAAATACGGGTTCAAGGAGATGTGGAGAGACATTTGGGGAGCCAAGAAGGCTTAGGGACGATCCTGCAGCTGTTGGGGCTGTCAGAGTATACATCACACTAGACCCGTAAACCAGGTGGTATCGAGAGAGCATGTCACATGCTGATCAAAGATGCTCAACCTTGAATCGTACTAAATCAAATCATGGCACTTCCCGTAGGAAAGTTGCGACGAACTAAATGATACATGTTGTATGGCCGTCATCGCCATCTCTCGACTCGCGACGGACCACCTATTCAATCAATCCTGGGTGCAGCGCTACACGACAGCAGCACGCTTCTCCTCCTCAGCCAGCTTGCCGGGGGCGACGACATCCTCCACAGTCTCATCGGTGCCACGGAGATCCTCCTCGACATCGGTCGTGTCCTTGATGCGCATCCAGATGACGGGAGCGGCAATGAGGAGGGCAGCACCGAGCATGCCCCAGGTGGCGCCGAAGATGGTGTCGTAGGGCGTCTCGAGACCGTCGAGGCGCCAGAAGACGGCGGCACCGGCAGATTGGATACCCTGGTGAGGTTAGCTGGGTGTCGGGTGAAGTAGGGGCTCGAACGCTTGCATACCTTGTAGAAACCAGCGAGGTTGGCAGCCTTGCGAGACGAGTTGGAGAGAGAACCCATGTACCTGGAAGAGAGTCAGTCACCGATGGCATCGGGTCGTTTCCGTGGGGCCACGTACCAGTAGATGGATGTCTGCCAGGCGGCATCGAAGAAGCCGTAGAAGAAGTACAGGAACATGGGGCCGATGTAGCGCTCACCGCCGTCGGTCCAGTCAATGTCGCCCTTGGCCTCCTCGCGAGGAAGCTGCTTGCTCTGCCAGGCCCAGCCGCCGCCCCAGATGACCATGGTCAGGACAATGAGGACAATGTAGGAGCCGCGGGCGCGCCACGAGCGACGCACGCCGGGGAAGTCCAGGCCGTAGCCCATGACGAGGGCACCGATGATCTGCGCGAGCCAGTAGAGCAGACTGTTGAGGGCGCGGGTGCGAATGTTGAAGTGCATGAGGTTCATGCCGTTGTTCTGGTAGGTGTAGAAGACGTTGGACGTGAAGAACAGGGGGAACAGCAGCAGGATCCAGAGCTGGTCGCGGATGCCCTCCCACAGGCCGAGAAGCTCCGACTTCCACGAGGGGTTCTTCATCATGATCACCTTGGAGCCATCCTCACGCTGAACCTTGCCGGCATCGACGAGGAACAGGGCCATGACGGCGCCGAGGAACATGAGGATGATAAAGGCGGCGTAGGTGCCGTCGTTGACCTGGCCGCTGCGGCTGTTGATGTTGTCGGCCAGGGGGATGAGCGAGCCAATGACAGCGCCGAGGTTGAAGATCATCCAGAACCAGGAGATGTAGCGGCCCTTCTCGTTCTCGGGCGGGTAGGACATCATGATGGCGCCCTGGGCGGCCCACAGCAGACCGGCGCAAACACCGAGGAAGGCGCCAGCAAAGACGACGAAGCCGTGGTTCTGGGTGTGGCTGTACGAGAGGAAGCTGGCAGCGTAGACGCAGTAGCCGATGCCACCGAGAGAGAGGGTGATGCGCAGGCCGAGACGGTTGGCGAAGGAGCCGGCGAAGAAGCCGACGACGGCAAAGGTGCTGTAGAGGGCCGTGTTGGCGTCGTTGGCGGCCTTGGGGTTGACCTGGCCACCGCCGCCGAGACCGCTGAGGGCGTTGAACATGCCGGGGCAGAGGAAGCAGACAAAGGAGACCATGAAGAGCTGGATGCGCGGCGAGGCGTACCAGTACTCACGGCCAAACATGCGCCAGCCCTTGTAGATCCAACCGGCAGGACGGGGGATCGACTGAGCGGGGAAGCTCGCGGAATCGGCGACCGAGGCGGCCGTGTCGCCGTGAACATGGTTGTCGGCAGCGGCGGCGGGCACCGCCGTGGCGGGGGTGGTGTTGTGGGCGTCGGCCATGGTGGTGAGGCGTCGCACCGAGATATTTCCCAATTGGGGATCTGGGGTGGTACTGCGCGCGGTGGCGTCCGGCACTGAACTCGGTTGGTTCAGGTTCAGGCTGGGGGGGAATTGGGTGGTTGGCCAGATGAGTGCCGTACCCAAGCTGAAGCTGCAGTGCAGGGTGTCTGCGTACGAGCGACTTTAGAGAGTGAGCGAGTCGAGGAGAGTGAGTGAGTCGAGTCGAGTGGGAGAGTGATCGGGCCAAGTGAGCGTCGATCCAGATTCAGACCAAGACCAGAGGAGACCGAGAGCCGCGTACCGTAGACCTGGCTGTTGATGGTTTTTCCTGTCGTGATGAAGATGGGGCAGGGTCGGAATGGGAAGACGAGGAGGAGGAGGAGGCAAGGTATTAAAAGAACCAGCTGCACCCTGAAATGCGGAGAAGGTTCGGGGGAGGGAGGAGCAGCAGCAGCAGCAGCAGCAGGAGAAGGAGAAGGAAGGTGAGGAGGAGGTGAGGAAACGACAAAGATCGTCGTGGGGAAGGAACGGCCGAAGAGACACACACACGCGGGCGGGCGCGCGCACGGCAAGGTAGCAGTTGCTTCGGTCGATTGGATTTTTCTGGCGGCCTGGTCTTTCTTGCTTTGCACCTGGCCTGGCCCCAACGTCGAGGTGCATGTGTCGGGCCTGGGCCAGGTGCCCAGGTGCAAAGCCAGGCGAGGAGCCAGGCAAGCCAGGGCAGGCGCTTGAGTCGCAGCCCGGACGGAAGCTACGTGACAGCGGGGAAGGACCCCTGTTCCAGTCCACCTTCCTGCCCCCACCTCGAGTTGTCTCGACGTGTGCTGTGCTCGACGTGACACTGGGACTGCTACCATGAACTACGGTATGTCAAGAGGAGACTTCCTGGAAGGTATGCTGCCTCTGCCTCCCGCCAAACGGCGCATCAGCTTGACTTCGTTCGTTGCCTGGGGCATCGTATCAGGAATGCTCACTCGTCCAACAGACGACATCAAGTGAGACCCCAGCCCTGTGGGCAGGGACTGATTGCCGGAGTCCACACGCCGTGATAACGGTGGACTCGAGGGTATCCTGTCAATCACAATCGGGATGCAATGATAAGACGAACGACCGACGATCCCATCTCGTAGCAGTAGCATCAGCAGCAGCATCAGCAGCAGGAGCCGGAGCCGAGTCGTGGCGGCGTATATCGATGGAACATATCATCAAAGCGTCCGACGCGCCAAATGGGCCGTAACACCCACCCACTGGGCAGATAGGCAGATAGGCCGACAGGCTGACAGACAGATGGACCGACCAACCGACCGACAGACAGACCGGCAGACAGACATGCGCGAGACGGCACGCGACATGGCGACGGGCACACAAGTCAGCAAGCACCACGGCTGCCCGCCTCGCCCCCCGGTTTCTCCCACAACGGGCTGAACACGCAACGGCGGGTGCGTGCCCGGTGAAACGGCTGGAGAAGACTGGAGAAGATGGAGCTATGGACTGGGGCGAGGACGGGTGAAGGAACGAGACATGTCGTGGTGCCGCGAGGAAGGAGTGTAGCGTGAGGACAGAAGCTCACTCCATGCGTCCATCAGTCGGTACCCAGGTAAGGTACCTAGGTACCTAGGTATGCAAGAAACAATGCGGAGAAACAGATAAGGACATGGAGCGCAAGAGATGAAAGGCCCGACCATAAGGCCCATGATTGGCTGTCCGATTTCAGATCGCTATGCTACCTGCCCGGAAGGCCTGCCATTGGTTCTAGACTAGGCTTCTTTCCCCACACGACCTGTGGAGGTCTCGTGAGGTTCCGTCTGATGGGGGAACCAAGACTTTATCCACGGCGGTACCTATGTACGGACCATCAACTATCATCATGTTGTAAGAGAGCTGGCTGCATTCGGTGATGGGACTGAAATGGTCCATCAAAGCACGTTGCTAGTCCTCATCTACTCGCGGCAAGCCTCGACAGCTCTAGGATTACATCAATGCAGTGCTCACGATGCCTTGCGTCCAGACAGAAAGAAGCATTTGCTGATGCGGAGAAATGAGCTTACCCACCCCAAGGTACCTCCCAATCCCTCCCCTTCCGAAACCCTGCGATATCTCCATCCTCCACAGCCAGAGGGGGGCATGTAACGTTTCCTGTGAACACCACCATGGCCATACCCACCCCCAGCCCAAACGCGCTAACAACCCCATTTCTCGTAATCGCCCTCGATCCTTCAGTCGTGTTGTCCCCCGCCAGTACGCGCAAGGTGGAAGCACAGCATGGGCCCCGCACCCAACTACCAAGAGAACGCTCCAGTCGCTATCTTCAGGGACAGACCCGTTCAGCCGTTGTTGGGTCAGGGTCACCTTACCTGGCGCCCGGGACCATGCTCGTTACACGGGCCCAGCTTGATAGCCAGCCGCAAGGCTCTCTCCCTTCTCGACTATCGTCGGCATACACACACGAGGGCGCGGCGCCCTTCAACGGTCGTACGGATGGACTCGTGGTGTTGCTGCGTCTGTCCATACGCACGTGTCGTTACCTCGAGGGCGCCTGCGGACTACCGAGCTGAGGGTCGAGTTGGGTGGCACACGGCAGTTCCTTTGCGATGCTGTCGCGGCTGGTGCCAATGCCTGCGTTGCCTGCATTGCCTGCATTGCCTGCATTGTATGCATTGTATGCCATCATCTGCCATTGCGTGCCAGTGCGATGACCTGACGAGGGACCGCGACCGCTTGAAACACGATGCACCCCATCACTTTGCCTCCCGTCCTGGGCCTGTGTCGTGCATTGGACTGTACAGCTAGCTGCCTTGCCTTCCCTTGCTTTAGCTACCTACTTGGGCAAGGTAGGTAGGTGCACACGGTAGGTCGGCCATGACAGACGTCAGCATACATGTCCCCCCCGAGGCAGCGATGACAGCGCCAATCGGGACGCGAGCGGATGGGCCCCAGCCGGCGGTGCGTCTCGTCCACTGATCCTCTCTCCTGCCGCCCTGACGCCCCTCCGTAGCCTCACCCTCACCCCCATTCGCGTTTCTTCACTGCAGTCGACATCACATCACACTCACTCACTCACACACTCCCTCACTCCCTCCCTTCCCGTCCGATTCCCACCACAATCCCTCAACCCCTACCGGCAGTCCCAACCACATCACACACACGGGCGATAGGTCCCTGGGGACAATCAAATGCCGCCCACCACCACGGCCATCCCCCATGACACCATCCGTACATCGGCCCCTACCTACGAACCGCACCGTACCGATCATAGATACATGCCATAACATACCTGCACCCCCCCCCCCCTCATTACAAAGGAACCCTCTCCGAATCACACCACACATGACCACCCAAAGGCCTCTCACTTTCGGTTGAATAGCCCTGCGCTGCCTCCATCGGGTAGCAACTCCCACCTGCCAATCCGTCCCTGCCCTCCCGATGCCTGATCCTACCCACCTACAACCTGCCTCGCTACCTACGCAGCTCCCCCAGCACCGATACAAGGAGGGAGGGAGAAGGGGGGGGCTTACGATCTGTGGAACGAACGTAACTAGAGAGAAGGATAGCCAATCTGCCAGAACAAGGTCAACAGCGCAGCACTGAACCACGCCGACACTGAACGCAAGCCCCTCCCCCCCCCCTGCCCATCCCTTCTGCTTCTCCATCCGCGCTGCGACGTCGCCCCGATACACGAGACAAAGCCAAACGAAACGCGACCCTTCTACGGTTCGCGTTTGTTCCAATCTCCGTTCGCCGCCGTCGCCCCCTTTGAGCCTGACATGGGTCATTCGGCAGCACAATAGTGTCACATCTGCAGCGGCGCGTCGCAACATCCAGAGCGGCATCAAGTCAGGATCCGCATCCATTGAGGTATCTACTACAGCTCCGCGAGGAGACCAAAGGCAGCATTGTACAAAATACCGTACACCATGTACAGACATGCGGCGTTCCCCCGAACCCCTACTCCGTCCCAGACAAGCGACCCTCGAAAAGAACACACAGCGACATGGGTATACACAACACAAATGCGAATCAAGCCGGCGCGCCAGGACTCCATGGGGTTTCCGCACACTCTTCTCTCCATCTCGCTCGCCATCTCTCCCCAATACTGCTCAGTAGCAGCCCCAAGTGAACTGCCCCCGTTCCCGTGGTCCCAACCTTTTATGGTCCTTAACCTGACCAAAAAAACGCGTGATGCAGTAAACCCAAATTCGCCAAGAGGAACAAGACAAGAAGCAGAAGAAGAGAAAGAGAAGCAAAAAAACCAAGACGCACACCCCGCCCGATCCAAGCAGTGGCGGGCATCCAATGGTTGCAGCGAGTGAAGGTGTCTCGTCCCGTCAGAGTCGACGGTGTAGTACGAGTCACGCGCTCCAATAGTTCAGACGGTCGTGGGGGCGCTCCGAGCCTCCAACGACGGCGAATAAATGGAAGGACAAAACCCCAAATAGCTCTGCCATGGCGGAGCGCTCGACGGGATATCAGATTCGTTAGGCATGAAGTTGGCGGCTCCAAAGTGATGATGATAAGCGACGTTGGGGTAAAATTGGGTATCAAAAGTGAAAGTGAACAAAATGTGTAAGTGCTTGGCAAATAGTCCGTCGTGCGCCGCGTCCTGCCACGACAATCGAGTCAATAAAGAGCGTCTCATCAAATGGGTGCCGGCGTGTTGGCCCCGCTGCGATCTCTCGTCATCCAGCCGAAGAGGTCAGCACCGCGTGCGCTGTTGTTGGCGGCTTGCCCGTCAACTGGCGTGCGGACGGCCAGTTCCCGAGGCTCCAGCAGCAGGCTCTTCCTGTAATAGGTGACCTGCACGTTACCCTGGTCGCTCTCTCGGAGACGAAGGATCTGTGCTGCCATCCAATCTTGCATCTCGGGAACCTCGGTGAGGCGATATGGGATTTGGAAGCGCTGGAGGTCGCCAATAATCTTGGCCGTGCGCGTGTGCTTGTCGAAGTTGACGACGGTCAGGCCTCCGCCGTTCTCCTCGGGGCCGTCGCCGCTGAGGCCTGGCAGTTGCTTCGTGGCTGGGTTGCCAATGTCGACAAAAGTAAGGTCTGTCAGGTACATGCCGAGGAATGGCAGACATGGCGGGACATGGTCGTGCAGTCGCGTGCGAAGCACCTTGTTGTTTTGGGACGGTTCGACAATGGCCTGGAGGTGACGAAGCATCTCACGACGCTTGACCGACACGATATCCCACGTCTTGCGCAGGCGACTGATGGTGCTGCTGTTGAGGCTGCAGATGATAGCCATGAGGCCGTCGTAGTTGTGCAGCTCCAAGCACTGGTGCGCAATCTTGATCCACTGCTTGATAACGGTGGCCCGCTTCTTGACTTCGGAGAACTGAAGGACAGTCTCGGCGACGAGGTTGGAAAGGTCGGTAGAGAAGGCGGACATGGCCTTGACGTTGGGCGCATCGACGCCGCTGTTCTTCATCCATTGCGAGGCGAGAAGTTCTTCGGGGAGGATGGCGCAAAAGATGTTCATCTGCTTAATGGTGAGTTGGCGGGCCACCTCGAGAGGGTCAAAGTCCAGGATGCTGGGCGAGTTGCCGCCATTCTTCCAGTTGACCAGCGCGTTCAGCTGGCTCTTGGTGAAGTTCGGGGCAGGGTGAGGCGTGTCGGCGGGAACATATTGAGCGATCGAAGTGTTGGTCTTGCCCATGGACGAAACGTGGCGAGGCACCAGAGAGCCCTCGCTGGAGACGCGCTCCGCAAGCTCGAGCAGCCGGCGACCTGCCGAGGGTAGAGCGGCCGCCAGCTTTTGCTCGGCAAAGGGTTGTATGAGACCAAGTGCTTCTCGATCCGTGTCATCTCTCCAGTGTGTTTCGAGCCAGCCTTTGAAGACGTTGTAGACCCGGAGTCTGACGGGCATAGCCACATGAGGGGCGTCAACGACGTAGTCAAAGCGATCGATCAAAGCTTCGGCAAGCTTGGCAGGAGGGCAGAAGAGACGGAATGTTAGGTAGAAGGTTGAGACAAAGGTGGCATCGGGCGTGGACTCGTGGGTCGTGAGCCTTTCGACGAGGGCGGAGAGAGAGCCGCCAGTGACCTGGCCCTCCTTGTTGAACATGAGCTCGTGGGCATAGGTCTTTTCAAGGAGTCTTGATTCAACATCGTCAACCTCTTCAACTTGAGTGGAGCTGCCAGCGTTGCTGAGATCGGACATGGATGGCTGGTTCCTTGGGCTCGGACCATGTTCAGGTGTAGTAGCCCGCGTCGACGTCTGAGAGAGAAGGCTGGACTCAGAATCACGGTTCATGTACGTGCTACTTCCTGCGATGGAGCCAGCCTTGAAATCCGAACGGAAGGATGCGTGATTGTCCGACTCCTGCGCCGGCCTGTCCGTCGGGCTAACAAACTCGTCGGTGGACAGTAGCGTTGAAGACACATGAGGCAGCGGGGGGAGGGTGGGGCGGATCGAGGAGACTGAAGATGCGGCACTCGAGGCATTGTCATCGTATGAGGAAGGTCGTGAGCTCGCAGGTGAGTGGTGAGACTCGTCGACGGTCGGAGACGTGATCTGTGGAAGCTCAGGAAGAGGCTTGTCGGCGTCAATGGGCAGGCGAGAGGGGCCCGATCGCGCCGACTCGACCGTCTTTGTGGATTCGGCCACGCTCGTGGCCTGGGACGTTGTCGTTTCGGCGACCGAGTGGGCAACAGAGGGCCTGCGCTCATAGTGCGTGACGTCGAGGACGCTGAGATCGATACCCAAATCGCCGGCTTCAAACTCGTACTCGAAATCGCCTACCCGCTCAATCATCCACTTTGACTTGGCCACGCACTCGCCGGCGGCCTTGACGCAGCCAGTCGCTGCCATAAGCAAGACTCCGTTGTCCTGTGGCATGATGACATCCTCTTCCTGCATGGCGGCGTGGTAGATAATATCGCCAGCGGCGGACACCAGCTCCTGTATCCTATCAAACATGGTTTCCCGAGCCCTGGGAAGCACATCGGAGCTCATGCTACTGTGGCTGCACACAACATCAATGACAGCCAGCAGCTCTCCGCCAGATGTCGCAGACAGCTTGATGGCGAACGCCAACTCTGGTCGCGATTGCGACTGCAGGTGCAGCCGTCCGATGAAGGAGCCCAGGTGGGACAAGAATGTGTCGTGGCTCTTGTTGAGACGTTCCGAGACAAGGTGTTGAGGCCTTGACAGTGGCGAAGGGCCGGCCAGCGACACCCGGTGAGAGATGCCCGAGGACATGCGGTTGACGTTCTGCGACATGCGGTGCGAGGCTGGCGTTACAGAGGATCGCATAGTTGATAAACGCTTGTTGGTGGGTGCAGATGTGGGCGCGCCAACGACGTCTTCGGCGAGCGCCGGGTTGCCTGCTCGGGAAGAGCCGTCACTCGCGTTCGACTGTTCCTCGAATCGAGTGTAGTCGGCCGGCGGCGTGGGCGGAATATACGACTCCTCCATGACGGTGGCCATGACGGTGACTGCGGGTGCTCTTGACCTCCTGTCATCCTCGAAGACATCCAGAAATCGCACACCTTTGGTCACAATCTTGAATGCCTTGAGAATCATCTCGTCGACAATGTCGTTGACATCCTCGGAAGGCGACAGCAGACCGCGCTGTCCCTCTTGTAGCCTCTTGGCCGTCTTGACGAGGGCAGAGAGCTCGGACAGGAGAGACTTGCGGCCCTTACGAAGGCTCTCGTGGCGTTGGATGATGGCTGACTCACGGGTCAGGCAGTGTGTTCGTTCCTATTTGGGGGATCGCGTCAGTTGGGCGCAAACATGGTCAGCACAGCACAAAACAAGACGTACCAGTAGATACCGCACGCCGGCAATGATGCCCTTCATGAACTCCTGGTTGCCAAAGATCTCGCTGTCGTTGACCGAAGTGCTTCGCAGAAGGTCCCAGAAGTTCAACAAGGCCTTGAGTAGGTTCCCCATCTCTTCCGGGTCATATGCCTCGCAGTAGTTTGTGGGAAGCCATCCTCTTGCACCCGACAGAAGCAGTGTCCCATCCGCCCAGCCGTTTGTGTGTATTGAATGTACCAAGATGACGTCGCCTTCGTTGAGCGGCAAGGTGACGCTGGAGTCGGTGATGGAATAGTTGGGGTGAAAGGGATAGAAGGCCCTCAGGAAGTTGTGGAAGACGGGTGGTGGCAAGGGGTGGTTGGTGAGGTCTTCATGGGAGCCGTTGGGGGTATCTGGCGGTGTCATGTTGGAATGGTGATAGGGATGGTGGTCGTTCTCGTGGAAGTGCTCCGACTGTGACAGGCCATGGCGCAGGGAATCGGACCTGGGTTTGTGGAGGTTGAGGGGAGCAACCTGAAGACTTGCTCGCATGGTTTGGCCGTTCAGCATGACCATGATCGCCGGCAGGTGATTTGGGGGACCATGGGGGGAAGTAGGCGGTTTCCGTCAAAGGCGGCGCCTGTCGATGGGTTCTCGACTCTCGGGTCCACCGAGTCGAGCCCGAGTCGAGCCAGCTTCAGCCTCGCTGAAGTCCCAAGCAAAGATGACCGACTGTCTCAAACGAGGCTTGACGGTTGCTCGTAACGCTCAGCTGCCAGGTCGTAGCGTTGATTGATCAATTGGAAAGGATGGGATGGTGTGGCCGTTCGTCGAAGAATCAGGACTGATATCCCACGGTTGGAATGGCACGGACTGCGGTGACGTTGGTCTCGAGGGTGGCTGCTTGCTCCTGGTAGACTGACGGTCGATGAGCGATGCAGCCCAGGCTCGAAGTTTGGAGTCGCGACGAGCAAGTTGTGTTATTGTTGTGGTACGGTCGGTATGTTCCCTCGCGCCGGAGAGACGTGTATTGGTGAGTACTTGGAACGTAGGGGGAGATGGACGAGAGAAGGGGAGGGGGAAGGGGGATCAACAGGAATGTCACGGCCCTAAAGACGTTCTCTGGACCTCTTGCTCTGACATGGGGGTGGTATGGGAAGGGGGTGGAGGGTGGGAGGGTAGATGGTAAGAGGG